ACCTTATCTGAGAAATGTTATAGCAGTTTAACTATAAACTACCAGGCCATTCAGAGACTGGGAAATTAAATGGAAATTAAATTAAAAAACATAATCTTTTGGTCTTTGGTTACATCATATTGGTCTTTCAGTAGATTATAAGATTGGTTCATTTTTTAGATCACAATACAAATCAGATTCATTTCTGTACATTTGGTAATATATCCACAGATTGCAATAAGGAATGGAACCAGTGTAAAAAAACATTAGACAATTAAGCTCTCATGTAACACCTTATTTCATGTACCATTTTTGTCCTAGCACCGTGGTGAATTTTTTACAGTGAAACAAAAGAACCCTTAAAATGCAAGTCAAAACACCTTGTGTTGCACTGGGATCATACAGTGATTCGTTAATGTGTTCATTAGCTCTTTGAATTATTGTCTTATGGCATTGTGCCTGAATCTTTTTGCTCATTTCATTTTGTCAAAGCATTGGCCATTATTTTTACTACTATGCACACACTGGACCATCAAACATGTTTTCTCAAAACTAAGAGTTCTGGGGCTCCCGAAAGGCTCAGCCTTTAAAGGCATAGGTCATGGGAAAACTTAAGCATGGGTCTGGTCAGCAGCTGATTACGGCCAGCATTCTCCAAGCAGTGCTTGTGCACGTGTGAAGGTTTTAGATTTAGAACTTGGAAAATTGAATTTTGTAGGCATTATCATATGCTAAATACCAAATACCATAGCATGTTAAAGTACAAAAACACAGCAACCACTCTGAAATTCTGCCAAATTCTTCCAAACCCACCTACAGTACCTTCTTAAGGTCATCTAGTAAATGTTCATTAAATAAATAATTGATTTTTGTTTGTTTTCTATTTACCTACTTAAATCATTATCGATTACAGCTGGATAAATCTGTTCAAGTATTCTAATGTCAAATTCTAATTTGAGAAAGATCTGTGATGTACATTAATAATTATTATAAGATATGTGTCAATATATTTCTGTGATAGTCCACATTAAATAAATGAAAAGAAATGCATAACTCTATATATAAATGAACCCCAACAATTTGCCCACACATATGGCCATCAGTACACTTTATTTTTAAGTGACCTCATGAAGCAGAAGTGTTGTGGTACAGTGTCATTTGCATTTAGGTACAACATTAAAATCTTTGAAGTTAAGTTTTGACCTGGCCAGCAACACTTCACAAAAACTGGAAAGATTTAAAAAAACAAGAATAAAGTACTAGGCAGCTCTTGATTTCGAAATTTACATTCACATTCTACGCTAACCATAGTTAGTCTACACACCATAAAAAGATACCTACTGTATCACTTTTTTGTGTATCTGTTTAATAAATAAAATGTACAGAATAGATGTTGATGTTTTTGGCTACACTTTAATCATTTCACCATGATACACCAAACTGACTTTTGGATAAACATTAAATCACCTCATTAGTGAGAGCAATTGAGCACAGCTGATGATGTTATTCCACCTGTTAAATGTCAAAAGCCTAGTGAAACAAAAAAGAAGAAAAATACCCAGCACTGTATATCCCACTTACCTTTGCACTGTTGGTATGTTGGAGGCTGGACTACAAGCACTAGAAATTATGCTAAAACAAACATCATGACTTCTTATTCTCACGTTATGTCATTTGCGCATGTCCATATAAATCATTATGAATGTGATTATAACATCTTGCTTAGCAACATTCAAATAAAGTTTTAATCATTTTTATTTAATTTAGGAAATGACATCCAGAATGATGAGATGGAACGTGGCTACTGTCATCCCTCCTAACCTTTTGTTGAAACCTCCATACAGCATATTGAACATTTTAACATATTGAACCCTTAAATCCAGGAATTACCAGCTTAACCCCAGACTGTGTCATCAGCCTTGTGGATGTGGATGTGGCTGCTGCAGGCAGCAGGCAGCAGGCAGCAGGCAGCCTGTCGTAGGACAGTAGTCTCTGTCTTTTCTTGCACCCTACCTGGTCTAAGGATTGTACAGAATGCTGCAAGCTGGTAGAGTATAAAAAGAAAAGCAATAAAGAATTCAAATGAGCAAAAAGAGGCTTATGTCATTTAATGAACTGAAGTAGGCACAAAGCAATAGCCCATATGTCACGATCGTAATCCCTCCTCTTAAGGGTGCTCCGGTTCTTTCTTATTTTTCGAATTATGTGCACCTGCCCACAATTCTGCCCCTCCTTATTTAAGCTTGGCGCTCTCTGGACTCTGCATTGGTAGGCGCCCGAAGGCCCAACTACCACCAACTACCACCAAGTCGCCCTACGTCCGCAGCTTGAGGGCACAGGCCTCCTACCAGCGTCATGACCCAGCTGAGTCTGACGCCCAGAGCGCCTGGCCTCGTGATCCTGCTTTTATTCCCTGTCCCCGCACCGGATCCTGTTCCGGCTTTTAACCTCGTCTTGTTTTGTCTTGATTGGATCACCTGGATTTGGACTTCATCCCGGACTCCTTGGACTAGTTTGCCTTGGTCACGCACCCCGAGCACCAGTTCACCATCGTCATGCCCCACGTCTGTCGTCAACCCCTCCTGATCCTCGTCGTCCTTTTCCACTTATTGTAGTTCCGGATTATACCATCTGCATAGGGTCCAGAACTACGCTTCACGGGAGCGTGGACCGGCTCTTGTTACACCTTAATTTCCTCCTAAAAAAACAAGACCCTTTCTCTTCTCACCCTTTTCTCTCTGATGATGGCAGATGTAATGATTTCATAGTGACACGTCTTCAGAAATAATTGATCTTTCATATAACAAAATAGACGGGAAGACAAATGGAATGTGGTTCTTCCATATATAAGTGGAGACGTTTTTAGTATTCAGCTATCATTGGCTATCAAAACTACAAAACTATTGAAAAGTGTAGTGAATGTCTTATTTTCAAAAACATAAAACCACAAAGTACCAATTGTCTCTAAATTTCCAAAGCCTGAGGTAGTCTAATGGTAAATGGATAAAAGTGTTTTGTCTGAAAACTGTCATCATTAAAAACGATGTTCAGGATGATAACTTGTAAGATGTACAGTATACAATTACACATAATGGATGATCCCGAAAAACAAACTGATTTTTTTGTCAGGTTAGGGATGATGACAGGGTTCTGTTTGATTAGTTACAGTATGTTTATTAAAACAGTGAAATTTCAGTGCATTTGTGTAATAATTTGTATTTAACTTTTAACTTTATTTTAAATCCATTACTTGGCACTCGTTTAAAAAGCTAAGATAAATCTAGCAAGTGACACTGATCCATTTTTCCTGTTTATCACCTCCATACATCTAGATATTTTTTAAATCCTCTGAATTTTTACTTCATTACATTTTTTAAGAAATATTTTACAATAACTAAGCTGAAATACTATGAAATATTAAATTCTTTAGGTTTAGGAATGTTTATTGAATTAATGAAAAGAAAGAAACATTTTTATGTGGTAAAGTTTGTACACTGACTTCACTTAAGTGTAATAGATATATCAGATTGGAGCAAGGGTGCCTTCAGAATTAGGCCAGTGGCACTAAAGTATTGTGTATACTTTATAAACTGTATAGTAATCACATAATCACACTGCAAAGTTATAAGCAGGAATCAGTCATGAAGTAAAGAACAACTGTACTTGTGCCTGTTTAAATATTTGCACCATATTTATACTGTACCTGTTTTCACCTGGCAGTTTTTGGAAATATTTGTGCTTCTTTTATACTTTCCAGTAATAATTAAGCAGTTCAGTATATATCAACTGACAAAGATTAATAATTAATTATTTCACTATTTTCCAAATAAGAATTGTTTTAGCAAAACAAGTATAAAGGTAAATAACAGTTTCTAAGCCATAAACCATTCCTTCAGTGCCTGAAATTGTCAATAATTGTAAAATGACTGTAAATACATCCTAGAAGGCAGAAGAAAAGTAAAAGAATTAACTGATAAACTTCATGAAATGTTCCAAATCGATTAAGACTTATCAAATAAAGATTTGTCCTGTCTCATAGCCTATCAGTTGGACAAATATGGAGATGCTCTTTTTCTTTCTTCATATACGTTTTATACACGTTTCGCATTAATAGTAGACACAGAGATGTTGTCAATTAATGGCTTTATCAATAATTATAATTACCCCAATATATTAATGCTCATTTATAGATATAGGACTTTAATATTTTACAAAAATTCACAAAATCAAATAAACACTGGCAAATTTTGTGTGGTAAACGTTGATTAGATTGTTTAAAATGTGTCTTTAAATTCTGTCTCAGATTTCAATTTGCTCATATTAAGTTATTTTGGGATTACAGAAGATTATTCAAAGATTTTTAATTTTTTGTTTCTGTAAATAAAAAAATGAAATCAATGATTTTGTGTGCCAAACCCAAATACGTTTCCTATTGCAATATTTTACATATTTCTAACCATTTAAAAGCAACTGTTAAATCCAGACATTTTTCCATCATCTTTTTAAGTTATTAATGCATCATTATTACGTTTAATAAAGAACTACAGTAATTGTAAAAGATAAGAATAAAAATTTATTTTATTTAGTGCTACCGAGCACCTTCAAAATTCAAAATGTTTTATACACTTTTTTCTTTGTAGATTAATCTGATTAACAAAATGTATATATTCAGTTTGCCTATCCCATTTTACAAGTAATGCATAAAATAATTAAGACTACTACTTTACATACAGTAGCTTATACAGCATATACAGTATTGCTCATGACGGACCTAAATTTTTGAAAAAAATATATAGTTCAGCATAACCATAAGAGTTCAGGTGGGTAGCTGCGTCAGCATGCGTAGGCTGCAAAGGAACAAGTAATCGGTTTATTCCAAGCTGTACAGAGAAGAAAGAGAACACAACGTTTCGGCCGTGGAGCCTTCTTCAGGTGTGAGAAAAAAAAAAACCATAAGAGGTCTAAAGGGATTATAAAAACAGTCAACCTTAAATGTAATAAAAACCTTTTTATACTTTATTAACAGTACAATCATTATGACAGCTCAGTTCATTATGCCCAAAAGCCACACTTTCATGCAGTCAGCAACAGCAATTAATTTAGAAATGTATATTTAGAATTTTTTAATACATTTTTTAGTAACACTGGTTGAAGAAGAGGAGAGGGAGGCACTTTTGAGCACTATCCTTTCAAGCGCTGCAGTATTGATTGATAAAGACAAGCCACCGAGTACAAACAGGCTTAGATGTAATAATTTAAATGACCAAAATTAACATTAAGAACACATTAGTTAAGTTGTTAACTTAAGTGGCTTATTGCAGTACTTTATTGGAGGTTTAAGAAAGGTTGAACATGTAAAGACCATCAGCATAGGTTGGGTTCTCCAGGCCAGAGATCAGGGCATTTTGCTTCAGTACTGGCTTACAGTATGTATGTCACCACTTCACTCAGTGGGATTTCCCTGCTGGTGGAAACATCCTGTCAGAGCAGAGAGCACGACAACAACACCCCTTGTTTCTCGGGCTCTCTGTGCTTTCAGTAACTGCTGCTTTAGTTCTCCATCCGAAGATTCAAATGCTGCTTGTTAGCCGTGATTCCTAAGATGTTTCACTCCCAGTGTGCCATCAGCAGCAAAGTCCTGAACCAAGCTGAAGAACAACAGGCATCACAAACAGGGGCAAAATTAACTCCTGGTCTCCGGTGAAAAAATATACTTCTGATTTAATTAAAAAACACTTACATTATGTTGGTCAGACAACAAAAGAAGCAAATAAATTTTATGGAAATGGCTTGTGAGGTAAATTTAATACTGTCAAACGTTCCATAATATTATTAAGGTTCTTAAAATATTGCTCTATGTTTTTTGCTAATTTCCTACATTTTACAAAAAAGAACATAAAAAAAAACATTGGTATCAAACTTTCAAGGTTATGCCATAGCAAACCACGAGATGTCATAAACTGAATAGCCCGTAACCCCTTTGGGCTACTCTTTGTTGTAGACTTCAGAGAACATCCATCCGCTTTCTAACGGCTTGCAATTCAGGCATGCCAGACCCCATCCTGGCAAGCAACAGACACAAGGCAAGATATGCTGAACATTTCAGAAAACCTTTTGAGTAAACATATTGAATTTTAAATAAATACATGGCCATGTTGCAAAGCCTTTAGTGGAAAATGTAGCAGACAAATAAAGCAAAAGTTAAGATTTTTTGTCTAGCTCTCCTTGTCAAAATTAACTATTTAATTGCAACATTGATATGTTGATTTTATTTTACTGTCGTGTTTCATGGTACTTTGCATTTGGAGCATGTGAAATCACTGGATGATGAAGTTGAGGCAACCTCTTCTGGTATTCTTCCAGCAAACGAGATATTTTTATTACTGAGTGCTACCCCAAAAAAGGTATTTTTTGTACCGGGGTTAGTTCAGTTTCCCTGGATGGGTCAGGATCCCCCACTTGCAGTACCCATGAAGACTGTATTGATGGGAGGAAGAGACGGCACCATTTCCCTGACTTCAGAAGATTGCCTCTGAGAGGCCATTATATCCTGGGAGGGATACTGGCCAGATGTTCCATACATGCATTGGGAGGAACCAGAGGAAGGAATTGCACTTGGTATATTTGAACCTGTGTACAAATTCAAACAAATAGAGAAGGGAGATCAGACCTGTCAAGTCTTCCAGTTTACCTCCTAAAACCAGGAGCATTGCTTCATAATTACAAAACTGTCATTTCAAAATTCCACAAGTAAAATGGGATGTTTTTATGTACCATCCTTTGTTTCAGACATTAGTCTGTTATCCAGACTTCAATCATTTAAGTTTTTGTGACACTCTTATGACTAACACTGAGAGATCCTATGACTAAAGTCATTACTCATCTGCAGTGTGTTGATACTAATGGTGTAGAATAGCCTGCATTTTAGTGGTGGATGAAGTCGGTTACAACTAATACAGATTGCAAAGTCCTTCAACCAATCAGACTAATATAATTCTGTAAAGCAAGATGGCTGGCAAAACAATGTCCACTGAAGCTTGCGACTTGAGATTTTAAACAGCATTGACCATGAGCAGAAAGACACAAAGGCGCATCAAAGCAAAAAGGAAAGGCTTTTGAAACATGAGCTCTCTTTTTACTCATGTAGCATTCATTGCAGATATTAATATTAATAAAATGTAATCCTTGGCCGCAATTTACTCACCTAAAGGAGCTCGGCAAACTAATCCTGAGGAGTCTGTGTAAAAAGTGCTTGTTGACTTCCTGCCAGTGTCATCTAAGATGTTGAGAGGATCATGGACATCATTGTATGCTGGGACTGACCGTATACTGCTTACGCTGCTAATAACAGAAACATGTTGGTCTCTCATGGTGCCGATCCTCTGAGTGTCATAACTGCCATTTCCATAGTAACCTGGAAAATTCATGTTAATGTTAATATTTAAACTTTAAAGGCAGCGTTCATTAGGCCTTTAAGCTATTCAATCAAGGTTCAGATATGCAAGACTGCAGAATTCAGATCATTTCACAATGCACTTCAAGGCGGCAGCCTAAGAAATCCAGTTTCATTGTCGTGAACAAAACAAAATGAAGGAGCAGCTCAATACTTCAATTGAGTGCTACAAAAATACACAGCTATCATAATATTTTGACATGACAGAAAGGGCATAGTTATGACAAAATTCCAAAAGAATAAGAGATCCTTCTTTCAGAAATGCAACACAAGCTTCAAGGAGTCACAGAGCAAATGCAATAAAAAGAAAAGTTTTAGGCCAAAAAAAGCTGAAACCAGAGAGAAAGATTCTCTCATAAAGGATGGAGTTCATATTACAAAGACACTTTTGACATAAAAAGCCAACAAGCAGTTAGATCTAAATCTGTCCCAAAAAAAAAACACTCACCATTTGGTCCAGCAGCTGGATAGGATGTTCCCTGACAGCTTCCACTCAGCGAGTTTCCAATAAAACTGTAGTTCCCCGAGTTAACAAGCTGGAGGCTCTGTGCCTCTGCACTGCTATCTGGCGGGGAGCCAAAACTTGATGTGGTCCTGGAGTTGTAAGGTGAAACAGCACAGCTGCTGCTGAAATAGTCCTTGGACAGCTGCTGTTCACTGAAAGACGGGTAACGACTGCTGTCCACGCGGTGGGGATACACCACTGGAGGGGCCTGCGCCTGAGACCGGAACAAGGCCTGGTAGTCGGAGCCCTGCGCATAGTAGTTGGGATTGTTCTGGTACATTGGATCAGAGAACGAGGGGCAGCTGCTGTGAGCCTGTAAGGTTGTACAGCCACCCTGGGCTCTCCCTGCCATGGGACCCTGATTTATCACACTCCCTCTGTTCACCAGCGCTGGAGAGATGGGGGGAGTCATTAGTGGGCCGCTGCTCTGGGAAAGATCCATTTGTCCTAAAGGAAGGAGGGAAGGAAAGGAAGGAAAGACAATGTTTTGAACTCTACAAGTTACAAAGTGATACTGTACATGTAAATCTCAATATTAATGCTCTAGTTGTACAATTTGCAGAATTAGGATATATTATGACTATCACGTTTATCCAATATATTCCTAATTATTATTAGAACTATTGTAATTATCTAATGATTTTATTTTACTCTTGTTCAATTGTTGGAATTGCTTTTCACACACATGAACCCACTATGCATCATTTAACTCTCCAAAATATTTACTTACAAAACACTGAATTCATATTACATTATCAACATTGGTTTTATTATTTCAGTATGGTTTATCAAAAAGAAACACCAGTCCTGTTGAAGCCAGGGAATTATTTTTGTGGCACCGGGATCTCTTTAGGTAACTACGACTGGGAAATTTTGAATCATCCTGTTTTAAACATTATCCTGAACTCTGTGTTACTTATGGACAACAAAGAAAGAGCTGCAAAGAAAAAAAAGCTTCATTACAGCAGCAATAATTCACATAAAAGAGAATAAGTATTGCGTATCACCTAAAACTAGCTCAAACCTTTATAGTAAAAAAAAAATCTTAGTTCACTTTTAAATGTGAAATAGTAAACAGAAATAACACACTTAAATGGGAGTGAAAAATCAAAGCAAAAGTAATTTCTCACTGTGACAAATGTAAATCTTGACAAGTCAGTAAAATGTTTCTTCTCCATTTTGCTAGTTGAGGTTTGGGCTATGTTCTCTGTGGTGCTGCCAGCCTTTGGCTCCCAACAGACACCATGTGGTGGAGTACCTGGGATTTGCAGGCTGTCTGATTCTCCACTAGGGAAGACGGCCATGTTTGCGCTCATGCTGTGCTGGCTGGCTGTGAGAGCCAGGTACGTGTGTTCTGACAGCGATTCACTTTTAACAGAGTCGTTGGAAACGGAGCTGGATTTATTACGGTTGGCTAAAAAGCAGGAGCTTGGAGATGCTGTGAATGCTGCTTTGCTGGCATCTGAAAAGAACAAAAGATTTTAGGACATTTATGTCCTTAGAAATACTCAACTCCAGTTATTGTACTACACAAGTCTGTGTTCAGATCACTAAAAAGGGCTAAGCAATCATTTTAAAAGTTTTTCTCTGCTTCACAGGAACTTTGTCTTTTTTATGCATAGTTTTACTAGATTTCCTAGTAGTCACAGTACTGAGTTCAGGTAAAAAGGCTGAAAACAGACAAAAGAAATAAAAGGTAAGGTCAGTAAAATAAATAAGGGCTTTGAACTATATAAAATAATAAAACAATTCAAAGAACATCTCTATATAATATGCTCATAATCAACAATAATTAATATCCCACTAAGCTTGTCGCTGGTAAAAGCACAAGTTAATACAGAAGAGGTATACTACCGGCATTTCTCATATACTTCTCTAGCAGATTCTGGAGCTCTTGTTCTTTGTCATTGTTGAACTGTGTTTCAATAGCCAATAGGATATACTCATCCAACAGCATTCGGATCAAGTGAAATGAACCTGTCACAGGCAGAGAGGAGATTATCTTGGTGACCATCTCTTACACTTCACTAATACAACTCCAAACACACAAAGAATTACCAAGACATCAAGTGATTTGCTGTCAGTTCCCATTCAAACAATCCACAATTGTTGAAACTCCTCTAGTCTTTAATCTCTGCCCACTGTTTGACCTATCAGTTTGCTTGATAGCTTTTCAGAGTGTTTGGCAAGTGTTTGGCAATGACACCAAAGGGCAGTTCAGATGAAAGTGGGAGAGCCTCTCTCTTTCCAAATCAGAACACACAAGAAGCTGATAAGAGTTTGCTTATTCGGGACAGGTCATTTCATTTTATTGCTCATGAAGTTATTTTACACATAAACCTGAGGCCACAGCAGATTGTGTTTTACCATGACATAATAAAGTGTAACCTTTTTAATATTTAATTTTTCTTGCTTGTTTATGCATGCTTAAACAAATGCACATATTTTTTACTTTCTAAGAAGTACTTGTAAGTTAATTAAACCACCATAAAGAAAAAGATGTATTGCTTTTTTTTTTATAGATCCTATTACTTTCAAATGTCTGTCTTTTTATGGAAAATGCTTCCAATGAGATACACAACAAAAACATTCAAAATAAATGAAACAATAATATTCTGGTGACAATTTGTGTTTACAAAGTTACCAATACCATACCCTTCAGTATGTTAAACCTAGACAGAGGAGGGTGAAAAAGGAATGTGAGGATTTTCCTTACCAAAACTTGTTGCATTATTCAAGGTGAGGTTGTGCATCACTCTTGCCCCAAAAAAGCTCCATTTTAAAAGGAAATCTTGAGCTCTCTTTTTTAAAGATCGTCCGTTTTGTTTACTTGGCTACAAATAGAAGAGGAAATGGTAACGTAAATAAAATTACCAACATTTTAAGCCTTTGAAAAACACACGTAAAGAAAGAATACCTTGATAACTCTGTGTTCCACCACAGTGTCCAGCCATTCAATGAACGATTCCACAGTCGCATTTTTCTTAAGAAGTTCCTTCAGCTCTTGAAACACTGTAATAGAGTCATCTAGTATGTATGAAGGAAAGCACAAGGAATTTTGTTTTCAGAGATTTATAATGATATCACATTTACTTATAATGCAACAAAGTTTTAACTTTGTTTCAGAAAATGATTATTTGATATATATGTAGGTATACAGTATATAGAAAAGGCCTATTGTTCTAAATTATACATAATTACACATTTCCTCAAGAAGACATCTTTTGCTCGATGGAATCTAATAAATAGGTCAAAGTAGAACAGTGCTCTTTGAAACATTTTGCATTTCTCTCTTTTTGAGAAACAGTAGAACCTACTTAGAATATCTAACTTAAAACTGTATGCATTTATTTTTTTATAATATTTAAATATATTTAATAAATAACATCTACTTTTTCTTAGCTTTCTTTTCCAGCCTCATTTACTCAGCAAGCAGTAAATATATGTTTATATACAGTACACAAAGATATGCATGCACCTTCATATACAGTACATGCATTTTCAATAAGGAAATATCTAAATGAACTACTGCTATGTGTGAATTATTCTGCTTCTCCTAGCTATTATTTAACATATTTTATTTTCCTTGTTTTCTAAGTCATTTGAAAATGCAGGATAAAATGTCATCCACACTTTTTGTTTAAAAAGGAACATTCCCTAGAGCTCAGAGAACAATGGACAGTAGACATATCTGTTACTGCCATTAAGTGAAAAAAAACGTTCTTTGAAGTATTATTTTTACCTGGACGGAAATGCTAAAATAATGTCTAGTGAATAATTTTAAAAGCTCCCTTTACTTACATTCTGAGTACAGGTCTGAGTCTTGGTCACTGCTGCTGGACACAGTGAGAAAGGCTTGTGAACCAATGCTGTTTAAATCCACCTTTTCTATGTCACACACCATTGAGTTCACAATATTCTGGTCAAACAAAGCTGGTCTGGCAATCTGACAGAAACATGCAAACAGCAAATACACAACGATTTATTTACACAATAAATGAAGGATTAAAATAAAGTACTTAAGAGCACATGCATTTGTTATGTGGTATCAAATCCAGTCTATTAATCTGAATTAACCAGCAGAGTCTAGGAAGTACATAACTTTAAACAAATAGAGATCTGACTGGATCCCTCTTGGAATAAAATTTACAGGCCATGTGAAAGTCCTGTTCTACTCTTTTTAATAATTTCAAACAATATTTCTTTTTTCAGTTGGATTAGGCCTATTTTACAACCTGTGCGAGATGCAAAAATGATGTCTGGCGTTTTAAGGAGGACACAAATCTGCGTGCGATAGGCAGCTTTTTCTCAGGGAGGGTCTCTGGAAGATTTTCAAAAGATGAGACCATCCAGTGTTCCCAGTGTTTTGCGAAATTCCTGATTTCAGCGAGCAGGCTGACACAGACAAAACAAATCAACACACTATCAATTTAGATTTCAGACAGTACCATTTTTAATGGTCATATCAAAACATTTTTTAACTAGATCTGCTTGCCTTTCTGTCAAATGGAAAAGTTATAGAAAAACAATAAAGACATATTAAGATTAACACAAAACACTTGATTTCCTACTTTACAGTGCAACCTAAGTGAAATTATTCTCAATTTATTCATTGAAATATTTGCTATTTGCACTTTGTAAAGCATTTAAAATCTGACCCATTATTTGCCTTTGTTTATAATTTACCTTTTACAAAACACACATTAGTAATACCAATTAACATTACCTTAACAATGCCAGCTAGAACATGGCTACAGACCCACAACAACCCAAAGAAAAAAGCAATATTGCCTCTGAATTCAATAGTTTAAAAAAAAAACATAACAGCAGATATAAAAGGATGTACTGTACTACATTTTACCTTTCTGGCATCTCCTGCATTGTAGCAGGAATTAGGACATCTGTCAATACCTATAAAACACAAAATAGGACCCAAGTTTTAGGCTTTTTTTTAAAAAAAAAGGGACCACAAAATCCATTGGATTTAAAGATGAAGTAAATACTTACTTTATACAGTATTGAGTCACAGACACAAAAAATGTCAACAATAATGGGATTATCCAATAGAGGTAAGAGGTGATCTGGCATTCCCTGCCAGAAATGAAGCAAGAAATTCTGTATCTGAAACAGAAAAACTAGTATAAGGAGCTTTCCTTCAATGACAATAAGAAAGGAGAGAATATTTTTTGCGATACTTACCTCTTCAAAGTTGCCATTTATTGCATTGTCCAAGATGCACTGGCAGTGGGTTTTGTACATCATGATAAGCGTGTCAACCTATTTTTTTAAAAAATATATATTATTAAGTCATTATGTACATACTGTAGGTCCTACAGTGGCAAAATAAGCTTAGTTTGTAAAGAAAAATGGGACTATTGACCTTTCGAAGAACAGTGAAGCCATTGCTAAGAACACAGCAAATTATAAAATGCAATACTGGAATTTCTGTCCAATATTACAAGGTTGATAATGCCTCTCTGAATGGAGGCATGAGCAGGGTATAATTCCTCTAAGGCATACCTTTTCTTTAGAAATGGACCCTTGAAGCAGCAGATGTTGAGCACTTGGAAATTCAGGGAGTAGAGTCCCTGTCTTTGAGCTGAGGGAATACTTGCGGGTGAACCCTCCCTGCAAATGCCATCGAGAAAACAATTGAAATTCAACATTTAAAGGAACTTTTCATCCATAGAGCACACACTGCTATCCAATCCTGATCTTGGAAGCCAAGTATGTCGACAGATCTTCTAAGCCTCTTTATAACAGCTGGGAGAAGCCGTTAAATTGGCCAGTTAAGCTAACAAGATCATTTAGTTTAATAAGAGCTAGTTTAAACCAAAGCTGTTTTGATCTTTGGGGCTATGTACCATTTCACTGTCTAGCACCGAACGGTACTGAGCCTGTCAAACATGATTTAGATGGATTGATATTTTATTGTCCACTGCTGTTGAAATTTGTCAACTTCTCCCACAGATGTACCAAACACATAAGCAAAACATAAGAGTCACATAAAATCACATGAAATCACAACAACAGTATGTGATACATAAATAAATAGGTAGGGGGGACTACATTCACATATCTTTATTGAGTAGTTTTACTGTGGATATTGTAGTAGTTTAATGTAAGACTTCTTATAAATGTTTTTATTTGAATTTGGTAGCCTTACCATTTCCCTGATGGGGGTATTATGAATTGAGAATGGAGGGTGTGTGTGGAATCATCTGTGAAGTTCATTGCCATTCTGAAAACTCTATTATGATATAAATTGCAGAGCTGAGCTGATGTTTCCCAATTATTGTTCCTGCCATTTTCACAATCCTGGACAGTTTGGTTTTGATTTTTCAGCCCCAGGTTTCTATACCAAACATCATGTTAAATGCCAGGATGCTCTCAACTAGGCTCCTCTAGGATATTTTGATTAACATGAAAGTTCTTGGGTCTTTGAATTAAAAACAGTCACTGATCAATTTGTTTCCAGATATTAAAAAATCTCCACAGCCTCTACAGACTGACCATTGAGCACTGCTGTCTGCAAAGATTACCCTCCATCAGTTTTAGCATTGAAAAGAAGCTCTTTAGTTTTGGTTTAATTTCCAATGTGCTGGATTGGCACCAGTTTCAGGATACTGATGTTTTTAAAGTAAGTTTGCTCACTTAGAGCTTAGCTTGGTCCTCTATCTGATCTGCATATTTAATCAGACTGGCTGCGCTATTCTGAATCTGCATCTCATTAGTATATATTGAGAACAGAAGAGACAATACAACCCTGGGGAGCACCTGTATTTAAAACCTGTATTCGTCTGAGAATATGCCATTCATGTGGACTCTCTTGAGGTCGATCTGTAAGGAAATCTTTGATCTAGCGTATAACATTCCCATTCACATTCAAGTCAAAATGATGTTGTAAAAGAGTACGCATTTGCATGGTTTTAAAAGCAGAGTTAAAATCAATGAAGAGAGCTCGAACAAAAGAATTTGAGTGCTGAAGGTGCTCGGCTATGGAATGTATTAATTTTATCAGAATTTAGAAATTCTTGAGCCTCATAATTAATAGGAAAAGAAAAACAAAACAATTTAAGAACAGTATATTCATCCATCCATTTTATAAGCACTTTATCCAATACAGCGTTGCAGGGGAGCCAGAGCCTATCCTGGCAATCAACAGGTGCAAGACAGCATACGGCCTGGATGGGATGCCAGTCCCAGAGCACCTGGCAGAAACCGACACAGGGAGAACACACAAACTCCACACAGGTAGCACCCAGGGCCCTAGTGCTGCAAGGCAGCAATACTAACTTACAGCCTTGCCGCCTGCATTTGTTCATTTTATCAGAAAATTAGCCCATAATTACAAACAGTATGAGTAATTATGCAGATAATATTGCAACCATTAACTTAATGTTAAATGGGCATTAGAACCAGATGGTACAAAACTAAATGTTGCACGGTAATGCACATCCAAAAAGAATGCTGCTTCAGTCAGGCAAATTAATGTAAGTCCATTAGTGCTACCAAACGATTCAAAAGCCATCCCTTTAAAAAACACTAATGAAATTAATGCCCTACCTCCTTTCAGTACTGGTAACATAATGAGTATAGAAAGATTTCACTGTGCTTCAGACAGCTAATGCCATTTATATATAATTTAGACGCCAAAGGGCAAATGTGCTTACTCCTTTCTTTTTGTTGTTATTGTCAGGTAGGATGTTCAACATCTTTACCACTACAAAAAATGAACACCCAACTAATTCACACATTTCCTGTTTTAATGTTTGTTTCAGAAGGTGTTAGATAAAACACTGGGTACAAAAGTAAAAAATAAAAAGTACAAAAGTACAAAATTGACATAAAAAATATATAGTAATTGTACAATGCCCAATTAACACCTTATTTAGAAAATTGTATACAATTGCAGTCAGCCGGATACCACAACTACATTTTACAGTTATGGAAACCATAACTTTAGACTCAGCAGGGAAACAGGAACCAGAGGACATGTTGTTTAGCCCTGGTGTGAGTGTGTACATGTGTCTATGTTCGGGTCTGGCCTGCCATGGATTCAGGGTGTCCTGTGCCCGCTGCTTGCCAGGATAGGCTCAGGTTCTCACTCCACTCTGTACTGGATAAAGCAGTTAAGAAAATGGATGGATGAACAACAGTATATTTTAAAATCCTTGAAATGTATCGATTATAATGTGAAACCTCTTTATACTCTACATGCACAAGATACATTTGCAATTCTCTATATTCATTTTTCCATAGTTCGCTATTACTGATCAGCTCAAGACAAATGTTGTACCTCCTGTCAATATATCATGTCATATTTTTACTTTTGGTAAAGTAAAAACTTAGCAATATCTAAAGTTTTTATTTGAAGAAAAAACAAAGCACAGGAGTTTATCAGAATTTCTAAATTTAGAAACGGTATTCAATTCTGCTTTAACCCCAAAGTGGCACTGCCACTTCTGTCACTGACTCCATCACTGCGGGTAAGGCTGGTGTTACCATGGTAACCTGCCACACCTCCACTCTCCTGCCAACGCTGGTTACCACGGACGTATAATCAGACAGAAAGCTTGATCACCTGTGTATGACTAGGAGCATCCCAGCCTTAGACAGAGCAGGCTACTTGACGTCAGGTCAGAGTGCACTCGGGAATCTGGCATTCTGTTTCTGAGCCTTGTTCTTCCTGTTTCCATATTACCTAGTTTGCTGCTCTTGTTCCTCTGTTTCTGTGTTGCTGTCTCCTGTTCCTGTGTTCCCCAACTTGTGATATGTCTGGATTTCCAACCTGCCCTTTCTAGATCTGCTCCCCGGTTCTTCCCATGTCTGTGGCTTTCTCGATGTTTCCTTGGTCTGTGACTTTTTTAGGATTTTCCCCTTGTGCTCTGTCACTGAGATTCGCTGGATCTGACCCTCGCTTTGCTGTAACCTCACAGTTCTCACGGATCTCTCTTGCTGCTTAGGATGGTGTGGTACTCTTCGCAGCCTCAGTGCTCAGACCACTTAGCCTGGCCCCCAGTGTGCGCACAGCACTGCTGCCACCCTGTGTGCTTTGCTTAGGCTCAGTCAGCGCTCTGCTCATGCCTTGGTCTCTGGTTGGTCTGTGTCTACCCGCCTTTGCTCCTTCAAACCCCAACAGAGGTCCGCCCCCCCAGGCACCCAGCACATAACACATACTTGCAGTGATTCTGGAGCATGCAGAGACAATGTTTATCAAATTCCTGCATTTATATAGATGTTTTTCATCCCAGTGGATTCCACAAAGGCTCTGCAATTAATTCTCTCACATCCTTCTCTGGATATACAAATCGCCATCTTCACGGAAGTTGCTATGAAAATGTGTGTGTGTGGAAAAGATTACTCTTCGGATATAATTAACACCAAAGTTATGGAGGAGGCTTGTGAATAGAACCGGTCTTTTCGCAAAGCTACAAAACCATTTTAAAAGCTACTGTTTATGTCTCAGTCTTACAGTTTGATACTGTGGCATGACATAAAAAAAAACATGGGTTTGAATGTAAATTGGCGTCTCTCACCAAATATTCCACAAGGTAGCAGATGCACACAGCTACAGTATGCTGACCTCATGCACCTGAATCTCCATCACTGGTTTCCAAACAATTTATATCTTAAACCAAATCAAAACACCTGGAGAACCTGAGATACTGTACATGTATCAGTAATTAAAAGTCCTTGCAAGTGTAGGTATACACTTTATTAAAGTACTTTATTAGATACTGAGTTCACTACATGATCACGTGTATGTTAATTAAAATGTTAATGTAAATAATATGCTGGAAAATGAACAGAAACATTGCATCAAAAAGTGAAAAGCACTAGTAATTAAACTTGTACGAATTAGAACACAGCTAGACATTATCCTATTAATGTACGCAATCATATTTGACAACTTAATTACTTATTTATAGTTTCCCCACTTACCACTTCAGGACTGGTCTATAAGTAGAAATTAACCCTCTTTAACTGCCTCTGTCCTAAACTTCATACACTAGTAATGTCAATGGGAGACACTTTCACTTTGTGAGGCTACAAACTAGATCAAGAAAATGAAGGATGATTCCTCAAGGAGCTCTGTAACCATAGTCTGAAATTTTCCCCCCAAAAGCACTAACATCATAAAAACAATCAACATATTCTTAATTTACACTTCTTTGACTAAAATTAAACCTACATATACTGTACAGTGTCATAATTCAATAACAGTAATCTTACCTCATTCTTTAGCTTGCTTCCAGAAAATCTAAAATAAAAAAAAACTTTAGATGGTGACAAAGTACTGTAACATTTTGAAGAGTAACTCATGTGCCCTTTGTATTTATTCATACCTCAAGTGAGAACAAAAAGTATCATATAACAGAAAGATCTGCAGATTGGATAATGTGTCCTGCTGAAAAAAGTCATACTGTAAACATAATAGCATCACACAGAGAAAAAAACACATTTGTCATAATTCAAGTCCAGAAAACATAGGAGTCACACTTATTCACATCTATTAGTAAACCTTTAAATAAAACCAAGTTAAAAACTCCTTTCTCAATCCTTCTCTTAGTTATGGATTACACTGACAAGACACCCCCTGTTGTGTTTTATAAGGTTTTTGCACTTCTGATGGGAGATTATTGTCTGTTTCTCTAGGCAGAGTTGATTTCAATCCACAAATGATGGACCGAAATCTACAGATTAAAGTTCTGAAGAACATTTATTTTGTGTTCAGCTTAGCTAAGCACTGACATCCAATGAACTGTATGGTTTGAATCACTGTTACACTATTTTTGCCTAAGCTTGAGTTTCTTGGCAGAAGGAACCAAGTGTTTAGCCACTCATGTCCTGGTGCATGTTGGTATTCATGATTTCCCCAATTTTCCCTGTTTTATCAATGAATACAGGACCAGTGAAAGCAGAATAACCATAAAACATGACAGAACCCCCCCTCCCCCACAGTCGCTGTGAATGTTGTCTCAATGTAAGCACATTCCAACCATTTTCCCCCTGCTATATCCAATTCAGGGATGCAGAGAAGCTGGAGCCTATCCTGGCAAGCAATGGGTGCAAGGCAGGATTCACCCTGGACAGGACACCAATCCATCGCAGGGCACACACAGAGTCATAAACATACACACTCTCACTCCAAGGTCACTTTTCTTCCTAGAAGCCAATTAATCTACCAATAAATCGTTGGGCTGTGGGAGGAAACTGGAGAACCCAGATCAAATAACTGCACCGGCATGCTGCCCCAATAGCCTGTTCAAAAAGCTCAAATGTTGTTTCGCCTGACCATGTCCTGGTTGTAATTGTCATGCAAAAATATTGGACTTTTTGTCAATAAAGAGACTTCTGCCACAAAAGAAACCTACCCCTCGCAACCCAGCCATGATTGTTCTATTAATGCACGTTTCCTGAAGACACCAATTTGTGTTGGAGACCTTCAACTGTTGCCTGATTTACAGCCTCCGGAACCACGTGTCTCACAGCTCATGGTAGCACGAATCACCTGCATTCTCTTCATGGCAGGGTTGCCATTATACCAGTAAATTTATATTTCCTAATAATGGAAACTGCAACGTAGATTCAGCTTTTAGTGGATTCTTTTATAGCCATCTCTCAGTTAGTGGATGTCAATGCGCATTTGCCTGCAGTCTTTGAAGAGCTGTTGGACCCTAACCATCAAATCAAATCCAAGTTTATTTATCGAATGCACAACAATACAGCATGCAGCGGTAGTTGCTGGCAATGAAATGTCTTTTCTGCGAGCTTACAAAAACCAAGAATCACAAGAATCACAAAAATAAAAAAAAATCACAAAAATCACAAAATTAAGGTTACGGAAATAAGATTACATAATAACGGATAATAATGTGATAGAAAGTGAATAAAACTCAATATGAATAGAGCTGCTATGTGTCCATGGTGTATGCAATATATACAAGTAGGGCAGTGTGCTGAATACAATGAAAACAGAATATCTTTGTAGCCATTACAGGTGATTTGCTATAGGAGCTGCAGGTTGGCTGAGACGGGTGCTGCTTCTGAATCTCTTCCATGTGTTACCTTCTTTCACATCCCAGAGAAACAGAGCACCTTCAGAGGCCTCTACAAAGCCGCAATTTTAGGATGTTATTCTGGAATTGTTTTTGTTATTTTTATTTAAAACAAGATCAAAAGGAGCAAATAAATGTGGCCTTCATGTTTTCCAGATTTTGTTTAAGGATTTATGATAAATATTACTTTGTTCTGAGCAATGATATAATGATGACACTAGAAGACTTTTGTAATTGTTTTTAAAAAGACACATTATCTAACCCAAAAATCTTTCAATTATGTGATGTTTCTGTTTAAGGGTATGCATCTGGAAGTCATTTAATATTTGTGTTTGCTATAAACTACCAATGGTGCAGTTTATTTCAGTCTTTTCAGTTTTTTATTATGCAACAAATACTTTTATACACAATATACTCTCCCTTTTACTGTATTTGTATATATTAGTTCTAGGGTATGAGAAAAATACTTTTTCCAAACAAATATTTCTTGGGAAATAAGAATCAAGATATCATTATTGAAGTATAAAATGAAATATAGTATTTTTTACGCAGGAAAGATGAACGCAGATTTAATTTATAGCATGGAAACAGATTGCTCTTTGTTTGGTACACTGGACAGCATGTGATGCACTTTTCCGGCCTGCTTCTCCTAAGACAAATACCATTTATGCTATCAAGCGGTTGACTAATAAAGAAGGCTATACTGATAACAGCAATAATAAAAAGAGAAAAAAGGACAGTTGGTATTCACTGCGTGAACTTACCTCGTCAAACCTTTTCCTGAGTACACGGAGTGGTAGTATGCACTGCTTTCTTTAATCCCAATTCCGTAATAATGATATCTGTATGACATCAAAAAAGGATCATTGTATTTTGTTGTGGAAACAAAACAAAAACACTTTTTCTCCTAACTACAACGGAAGCCTCAAAAATAGTAGGCACTGACGGCTGTTCAAATACTGGAGAGTTTACTTAAGGATTAAGGAACTGTAACAGTTTTCTGACCACCAAAGCTATGAAAACACTTTATGACTGGAAAGTAACCTTAAGGTTTTTTCTTATTCCTTTATATTCGGAATGTATACTGCAAATTCTAAATTGTTAGTTTACAGTATAAATACTATTATTACTAGACATTTTTAAAAAGAAGCAATGAGCCAATTTAACTTTATGTTAAAGCCACTACTACATATAATCTATACACAGAATATAAGCTTTTAAAACCAACAATTAAGCACTGAATTGTATATATTTTATTATGCTACTTAAATAACACGCTTTGGAAAGCTTTGGAAATGTTTCCATCTATGCAATGGCTAAATTGATGACAATATAACAAACTTTTAATATACATTTTCCTAAATTATGGCTAATGCAAATATTGTAATTAAGTTTGAGCTCTAAATAATGTATTCCCTGTTTTACAATTAGACCCTTATAAGACCCTATAATACAACATCTCATTAAACACAACATATGTTACACTTCCAATACGAAGGCAAATACATTTAAGTAGTTTTTAAAAAGCATATACTGTATACTGAAGTTCCTGAAGTGACTGTATTATTTGTACCACTAGAAAGATAATAAATAAGAAATAAAATTGTATCACTGTTCCTAACACATTCAGGAAACTTCAGTACAAAATTAAAAACTCTTTCTTCTTGTTAACAAAATAATTCACAAAGCTCGGGGAAGTTGATAACTGGGGTCCTACTTGCCTATTTTAAAAATATTCGTTATTTTTAATATCAGAATTCATTTCTCTGAAAGCAAATCTGTTACATCATCTTACTTAACCATTAATGACTGTTACAATATCATATCTGATATTTTTCTTTAAAAAGTTTGCATTGCATTGTAAAATTAACATGAATTAGGTGCTGCATTTCAATCTGTCCTTACTTTGAGTGGCCTCTAGTCCCAAGTCTCCTTGTAGTAAGAAGAGGAAATTTTTGTCGAATAGTCTGGAAATAAAAACCAGAGTTTAACTGTAATGTCCCATAACTGTATTGTAACTAACATGAGAAAATAAAAAAAATTAGAAAGTCAAGGTGTAAAGCACAGATTAATTCCCTTAACTGGCTATAGGTTCAGCAAGTACTTGTTGACTGTGCTTAAAGTTCTGCTTTTAGCTTTTTTAATTATAGGAATGATTAGTAAATATTAAGTTTAAATTCATGTATCAACACACATTAAAGGTTTTTTTAAAATACAATCAATTGTGCAAAAAAATGGCGAACACGTGACGTTCAAAGTATTTCATAACAGATGCACTGTAAATATTAATGATCACTATAAATCACAGGCAAAGGATTTTTGCAGTGGATCTGAATAATTTAATGAAAATAAGTCTAGGAAAAAAAGTCTATGTGTTGGCCAGTTTATATTTGTTGCACAATATCAAATGCAACAATGTTACAGTATACAATGTCTCTAGCATTCACACAATCTTGACATATTCGCACTCCAAATTGTATGTGCATCTCCAAATCGATCTTTTGTATGAATGTGACGAATGTTTCTTTCGAAAAATTGTCGTAAAGCGTTTTCAGTGAAATTTCATGACGATGTTAGAAGTGCAATATATACATAATTAATAATATTAATAATATGAGCAGACGGAACGTATTTCACCTTCCCAAATGTCGCGGCGCAAGCAGGGTCTAGTTTTTCTTTCCTGCAGAAATCTAAGTAATGAGCATACAAGATACATCTTGGCAAACACACTCCTTCACATACGATATAGTTTTCTTCAAGCCTAGAAAAAGAAATACATAATTAAAAATCTCTCTAAAACTATAAATATTTCTTGGTGTTTAAAATGTAAATATGAACAAAAAAGTGTTAGTGCTGAAACACAAATGTCAGTTTCTAAATGTCTTCGTGTATTGATGGGTTATTTGAAAGATCTTCACGGGTTTCTGAGATAAATAATTTCCAACTTTTCATCTAGTTTTGCAAAATTGTAATATTATTAGCTAAAAAATATGTTAGAACGTCTTTAAACATACCACTGTAAAGTCAGCTGTGTCTGTTTTTTCTTGTCTTTGATAATCTGAGTAATACTTTTCTTCTGAATGGACCGTTTGAAAACCAGATTCTTTCTGCTTTCTGCCGACTCGAGATCCTCTTCAGAAGAAGGCGTTTCATTGCAGTCATCGATTTCTACCAGACATTAAAAAAGAAAATTAATTGAATCCAAATATTGCTTATTAGTACCGTCTGGATGCCTCCTAAAGCAGACAAAATCAATTTGTAACCCTCACCTGACTTAATCCCTAAATCCTCGTCTTCCTCTTCAAACTTCGAAACGGAACTAGTTGCTAAATCTCGACTGGGCTCCTTTTCATCGCCCAGGAGAGTCAAATAGGGCTCCTCTTCTGTTCTACAGTGGATCTTCGGGGGCGGTTGCAGGTGATGGAAAGCGTCCTCGCCATTTGAGCAGTCAGAACTTCTTTTCGTTGGCATTTTTAAATAAATATGGTAAAAAAAAGAAAAATAAATATTTGGTTCAAAACAGCGATGATGAAGATCCTTAATATTGTTGCAGTGGACTCATTCCAAAACAATACAGTCCTTGGCATCCCAAACTTATAATTTCTGTAATATCTCGACTATAATGGTTTGCTCCCCAGACCCGGTGGTATCGCAGGTTTCCCGTGTAAAGAAGATGTCATTCTAAGCTGTACCGAGTCCATCTAACCTGGGAAGGCAGTTTAACTTCTTTGACCCTTTCGATACTCGTGTTTACATTAGAAATTTAAAGTCAATCTAAGGAACACGCCTTTTTGTTGGCACAACGTTAATATCAGAATAAAAGCTGGTGACAAATAACAACGTTTTGCTTTGATCCATTAGCTTTTACTACGAAAACGACACTGCCTTCAGTCCTAATTAAAACTAAAGGCAACGTCACAGTGGTGAATAAGATTTATCATTTGCAAAACACGGGGAGCAGATTCAGGCGTTAATGATTAACTAAAGCAGACAACCATATCTGATTGTGCCTGTGTATATTGTATTCTAACAAGGACCGCTAAACCTTGGGCACAGCAAGGGACGAGTATCTATTCACAAGTTATTTTAATAACCTCTGGCCCCTGGATACAATTCTCATCTTCTGAGCAGTTAGTCATGTTTAGTATACATGTAAGCCTTTCTGTTTTCTGTCACTAAAAGATCATTGTAAGATCAATGCTTAAAGATACTTTGATTTTCTGTACCCATTTTTGTGTTAACATCTCTCCAACAACAGGCCTATTGCAGCCCATTACTAAGGTGCTCAAAATTAGTATACAGTTAACCCATTATGACACCTTTCTACAGTATATGTCACCAAGACCAGTCTAACACATTATAACTACAGTAAACGATCCAGTGCTTCATGGTCTTATCTATGTAATTATCTAGATCACATGATCTGAGGTTTACTGTAATTAAATCAGTATTTACATACGTTTTGAGAAACAATATTAAACATATAAGAAATCGGTTATTTAGTGTTGAAATATAATCGTCATCATTGTCATTTATTTTTACTTTTCAATAAACTTTTTTTCTTTTTTGCTCCATCTTATATTCAAATGACACTGATCCAGGTTGTAAATATTAAAAGATTTTCAAAACTTAGAAATAATCTTTCTTTTTCCATGTTTTAAATTGTATAGTAAAAATCTGCAAAATAATTTTATTTCAAACAAAAGTTATAGTAAACAATAGTAATTAACTGAAATGTAATGCAAACAACAGAACTAAATTCTGCTTTTCAAAAGATTTTGAAGAATAAATGGTAAAAAAATTGATTGCAAAATTGTATAATTGTTACATTCATTCTATAATCTTTTCATTTAAAAGCCGTATTACAGGCATTTTAAAATATTCACAGCTGTATGGTGTATTCTGTACTTTATATATTTTTTTATCAACCAATATCAATGATCAATTAATGCTTAATGTTGTAGATAAACTATTAATCACATCCATCAAAACAATTTATTGCTTCCTAAATTAAAGTTGCCCTTTATGAGAATAAATTACCCATCATTTTTAATTGAAGACTAAATTTAAGTATTTTTTAAATGAATGGAAAAAAAAGTATTTGTTTTACATGCTGATCACTAAACTGCTTAAAAGTATGTTACTGAAATTAAATCTAATTCAAATTTAATACATGACTTTTCTTAATAATTAACCTTGTATACCTTGTATACTTGTATAATTTGTAGAAATTGCACCATTTTTACTGAAGACTTTTTCTTCGGTTTTGCTGAAGAATTGATATGAAACTTTTTAAAAGCATTATCACAAAGTTGCATGAAAGGTTTGTGACATTGGGAGATAACTGGGATAAAATAGCCATAACTTTTACTCCTCATTCACTCATTCATTCTTCCCTTGACTTTCCTTTTTTAAAGGAAAGCCTGAGTAAACTGTCTCTCAGATATGAGTTTTGCATCAGTTCAGGAAGATTAAAAATGTAATCTCAAGCAGCACAGAAACACGTGGGCACATAAAATCCAACATATTTTTTCTGTTGAAGAAGAGTGTTTTTACAAGAGTTTACAAGAGTAAACACATTTTTTAATGGATTTTTTTTTCTAGTTTTTACAAAGCATTATGTAATCTGTTCAACAAAATAAGCAACAACTTCAGTTTCATATGGAAAAAAACTCCAGCTAATATGGAAGAAGGACAGGGCAATTTACCTACCTTTGTTACAGCAACAGCCTGGAATGATATGGCTTGAAAGCACCAGCCTCTTAGTACATGGTCAGAAGAGTGGAAGGGGGATTATGTTACATTTTTTTCTGAGAATGAAAGTCAAATTCAGATCTTTATGGATGTTTCAGATCCTTAATATAATGTAATTATACATTATTTACTTTGTTTTGGGCAGTTAGTTAAGAAAGATATACACATCAGAGTTCACATTATTATTATTAATAATAATAATAATAATAATATTAATAATAATAATAATAATAATAATAATATCACTTTACAATTTCTTGCATTAGGAATTATCTTTCTGCATACCCCAACTTGCTCTCCATGAGACACACAGACAGGGAGAGAGCCTGGGGTCAGAGCACAGGGTCTGCCATTGTACAGCACCCCTGGAGCAGTTGGGCCTTGCTCAGGGGCCCAATGGAGTAGGATTCCTTTGCCAGCTGCAGGATTTGAACCAGCAACCTTCCAGCCACAGGCACAGAGCCACCACTCTGCCCTGTTCTATTTGTTAAAAAAATATTTTAGAGTAAAAATAATTATGAGCACTTGAATAACATCAATTGATAAAATTACATTCCCAGTTCTTCCCCGGTTTCAGCAATGAATCTTTAGTATGTACTTTTAATATCCATAGATTGGCTCATTGATCCATTTAATAAGTTGTATACAGCTTTACTCTGAAATGAAGTTACATTGGCATTGTGATCTGATTTTGAGCTGTGCTGTGATATACAGAGTGTGTGTATGAAAAGAAACCAGAAAAGATTTATGCTACTTTTCTTAAACATATTATAATTACTGTTATTTTTCTTTGTTTTTGAAAGTGAGAATTCCATAAGTCTTGAGTAGTTTCAAAGGGAGCTACAGGGTGTGGAAGTTCTGTTTTCTAGAAGAAAAAGCAGAAAGAATAAATAGATGAGTGAATTTTATATACAAAGTAAAGAACACAAGTGTAAAAACTAAATGTAAAACAATGGACTATTGTGTGGTACATTAAATGATATGATTGCCTAGTAAAGAGATACTTTATGACCGCCACAGGCTGTACTGCAGATAAGACAGCTTTTTTTAGAGCATTATCAAGAGAAACTGACATATTCGCACATATTATGAGGCTTTGCCACTGTCACTGAGCGATAGATGCTAAAGGTGGAATGTAATACCCCACTTAAAATACTAATGTTGATGTTCAAAGTATTAAGTGGGGAATACAGTACTTGAAAAGAAATGCTGGATTGTAATTGCTGTAGCCTTTAGTGACCCCTAGTGGAGCTTTTCTCTTAGAATGATTAACTGTCTTCATCCTGTTACACACCTGTACATGGTTCATTCCATAAACGGCATATTATAGAGCTTGTTTTCATTCTTTAAATTAATATGTTTTTATGTTACGTTAATATAGAATATTCTTATGAACTCTCAATTCTGTATTTATTACTTGTCCTCCATGAAAGTGGTCATCAGCCCTCACCCTGTAACACCCAGCAGGGTGTTCTGCAGCTCTCAGTTCTATAATGGAAACATTGGCTTAAAACTTTAGCTTCATTACTATTTTCTTTTCATAAACTAATTTAACACAATGAATAAAGGATATCTGCATAACAGCAGTGTTGGGAAGAACATTCGAAAGTTTAAAAGAACGGTTGCCGGTTTGTATCCCGTGGCTGGCAGAGGGATCCTACTCTGGTGGGCCCCTGAGCAAAGCCCTTAATCCTAACTGCTCCAGGGGTGCTGTATAAATGGAGGGCACGTTGGGGCATGCAAAGAGACAAATTCCTAATGCAAGAAATTGTACAGTATATGGCTAATAAATTGATCTAATCTTATTTGGCCAGTTTAATGCATTTGCCATTAGCTACTGTAAGTAATCCCAGCTACTCCTTGTAAGAAAACGGGGTATCAGCTGCATTGTAACATAACATCCCTTTAGTTGTATCATTCTCTTATACAGTAACTATCTAATCTAAAATTATGTTTGCATGTTTTATTACTTCATGACATTGTTTACAATATGAAAACTATACATCAACATAGACACTTGAGTCTTTCTAATTAGTAGCTTCTTTAAGCTCATTGCTTTCAATCTTCTATTTTGTATGTTTTTACTACTAAGCATCCATTCACTATCTGAACAGTTTCCCATTTATTAATTAGTTCTGAATCCAATGGCTTACATTTCCTTGAATGTTTCTGCCTTCAAATTAATAAATAATAATTATTAATGAGGATCTTAACTAAAATCACTCTAAAAATCTTAGATATGGCATGTCATTTTGTCTGTTTGTATACATTACTGCCGTTCCTAACTCTCTGTTGATTATTACCTAGAATTAACATAGAAATGATCATCCAGTTTAATTAATTATATTATTTAAAGACTTCACTTGTACTTGACATTCTACATTAAGATTTATTGGTCTATAATTATCATACAGTATATTATATGTTGTATATAGTTATTATTGCCTATTTTATGTATGAGTGCTGCTTTCCTTCACCTGTCTGTTGGGAGAGCTTTGTTCACAGTCTATGAATAACATATTTTGTTTCCTGAAGTACTATTGTGAGAATGCCATCTGTTCCATGGGATTTTTTGGATTTTACGTGCTTTTAATATCTATAAGATTTCTGGCTGTTTTTTTGTGTGTCAATGCTGTTTAATACTTTAATATTTAGTATTAAAATATTATGAGTGAAATATTAATTTAATTTACGAGTCATTTCCATTCTTTATCAAATTATTAGATTTGTGGTACTTCTTCCTTATCATGTCTTCAGCTGTTGTAATATTGAAAAAAAAATATTATGTATTAGTCTCAAATGTTTAGTCTCAAATGCAATATTCTTTTTTATCTCCTGGCTTTTCTATAACACCATTTTACCTGTGCTTTTCATTTAATTTTCTCCATGTCACTCAACAGGATTCTGTTCTTTTTCGTTCATTTTATAAAGTTTTTTTCTTTATCCTTATATTTTTCTTATTTGATTAATTAGATCATTTGTACCTTTGCCTTCTAGTTCTTCTAATTTCTTCTGTGCATCAAACATGTCCATATCATTCCTATCCAGTTCACTAGGGGGCAGTGAAATATTAAATAATAT